CCAGAATAGAATAACAGGCGTCCACGTCGTTGACAATCAATTTCTCCGCGAGTCATTAGATCCGTTCACCGTTCGTCAGTATAATCATCTAAACCCTGATAGGCGACGAGCTCCCCCGTTGCTCTACGAGCCGCGGAAATCGCGTTCTTCCATATAGACACCGAGCGTCTAATTAAAGCGACTCGAGGAACAGATGCAAAAGCACGTGAACCATATAAGAGCGATCATGGTCTCGTTATACAATCACGGGCCACGATTTGCCCGTTACGGTGCCGTGCGTGCGAGGCAGCCGGAGATATTGAAAACGAGAGTCTCGATCTGCTCGGCGTTCTACGCTTTGCTCCCGGGCCCCAGCAATGAAAGTGTAACGGGGAGGATTGTGACGGAGAATAGAGAAATGAAAGTGGCCGGCCGGCCTGTCAATGGACCCGGCCGTTCATGCACGAACTCGACATTTACCGGCAATTAAAGTGAGAACGCGTCACGGCTATCGTAGAGCCTGTGTTCCTCGTCTCTCGCCCCCTCGTTTGTTTGTCGTTCCCGTCTCTGGGTGCAAATAGCTACATGAATTCTTGTTCATTTTAGAGTTACAGTCTTGACCCTATAACGCGCTCGGCTATCAAACAAACTGTCGCTTGTCTCGCATTTCTCTTTTACACGTCGTTCTCTCCCCGGGTGCAAATAGCTGCACTGAATTTTTATTCGTTCCAAAATTATACTGTCGACCGTATGTAACCACCGTGGTTCGTTCTTACGTTTACTACGTGTCCCTCGAGAAACGGCACGGGAGTAAAACGACAGTTTAGAAATCTACATTTCCGTAAATCAGTTTTCACTTTAGATCGAAGTGATTTGCGTTGTTCTGGCAACGTTTTATTCGAATCGCTTTTCCCTGTTACGGGAAGAGACGTGGCTCAGAGGTATTCTCGATACGAGAGGAAATCGTGTTATCGGATTTAAAAATTGTTTTCTGCCGAGCTGTACTTATCCGACGAATAAATATGAATCGCGTTTCGGTGGAAGAAAGCAGCGGACGTTCGAGCTGTACGCTCGCTGTTCTACGCGATGACCGTGATGATTACGATTTTCTAACGGAGCTAAATTATTTGTGTAAACACGAGTCGGATACCCGCATCGCGTTTAGGCAACGCACGGCAATGGGACGTGGACACGTTTCTATGGTTGGCCACGCACAGTTGCCCTTGGCTAGTCACTTCAGTGTCTCCTTTCCTCAAAAATATGTCTGAGTTTTATCATCGAGTCACAGGAATAAAACAGTCTTCGTACGTAATCTGAAATTTGTTATTGGGATTTTAATTCAGTTCTCGGTGAATGCAACAACCGTAAATCGCTAACACGAAAATGTATGTACATCTGTTTCGAAATAGTAGAAAGTTTTAACGAAACTGAAAGAAGCACAAAAATCAGACTCAATTAAACGAATAACCGAATCTAATACAATTGCTGTAGTTAGGTTTCGACACTCGATTTTATGCAATGCACATTACGTGTGTCTTTCAGGATAGTATACTCTCTTATTACTTTCACGAAAAATCGACGTATCGTTCGACGTTAATTAATTACAACTTCTAAAGACGACGCTCGATTTCAATGAACTTCGGATCTCTTATAGTTCGTAGCTATTGCGAAACTAGTTTCGATGAGCCGAAGCGAGAGGTAGAGAAAAATTGGAAAACAAAATTGATAGTGTTCTCGGTTTCACGTTCGTTCGAGGTGTGCGTAAGTTGCATTTTTTAAACGAAAAACCGACCGTGCGATAAGCACGTTTTCGTCGATACCGAAAACAGTCGAGTTTCTATCACGTGCAATCCGTAGAAACCGAAACGTACGATCGAAATTAATAAATTAAGGATGTATAGGCTATGCATGTTGAATTTGTTATTATAGGTTCTTATTGCT